GCTCAGTGTTACAGTGCTTGCCTAGCACGCATGCAGCCCTGGGTTTGATTCCTCAGTACCACATTAACAGAAAGAGCGGGAAGTGGCACTGTGGCTCAAGTGGTAGAGAGCTAGCCTTGAACAAAAGAGACAACATCCAGGCCCTGAGTTCAAGCCCCAAGCCTGGCAAAACAAAGAGAGAGAGACTTTCAGAAACATTCCTCCCCAGACTGGCTTTGAACCAAGACCCTCAGATCTCAGCTTCCTGAGTAAGATTACAGACATGAGCCTTTTGTTTGCTTTGAACATTTTCTGCCAGCAAAACATCGTGTTTTCAGATGAATTGAAATAAGAATCAGTAGCACAGGTTAAGAGTCTTGAGAGAATGCCGGGCGCAAGGGCAGGAGCAGGAGGGCACCGGGGGCCACAAGGGCTGGACTCTGGACACAGCCCTGTGTCTCTCCCAGACAATTCTGCAGGATCGGGACAAGCCAGTGAGGATGATCATAGAGTCAGCCTCTCCTCCAGTGCCAGCCAGGCTTATGAGAGCACAAAAAGCCTCCTGCTGTGGGGATGTGGCAGTCTCCAGGCCTCCATGTAGGTGTAGACGGGATCACAGGTCCCACTGAGAAGGTCAGTGGATATAGAAACATTGGCTACAAAGGCACCGTCCATTTACCCATCAACAAAGGAGAGGAGAGCAGTCAGTTGTGAAGCGTTGGAAGGGAGATGTGTAAGGATGGGGAGGTGGGCAGGGGCTGGACCAGAGGGAGCTGCCGGCCTGGCCTTGTGTGGGCCTGGCCCAGGGACAGGCCTGTGTCCTCAGACCGGTGGCTGCTGAGACCCAGGGCACAGACAGAGAACGGTGGGAAGGAGGGGGCGGCGGCTTCCAAGGTCCCACACAGCAAGACCAAGGAAGCCACTCCAGCGCTGAGACAGCAGGCCACCGAACACTGTGGGACGGCTTTCCGTGTGCTGGTTTAGCATTTCATTGCTTTGCAGCATTCAATTGAAGATGAAACAGGGTTTGAGTGCAAGGCTGCCCAGAGGAAGTCCTCACCCACCTGAACCCCAAGACTATAACCCAGGACAGGCAGCTGCGCACCAAGGCTCCGGCGGCACTGACAGCAGCAGGGGACTTGAGGTTTCCTCCAGATACCAGGCATGGGGACATCCCCTCCGGGCATCTGGACCCAAACCTGCTCTCACTCTACC